GTATATATATATATATATATATACATTCAAATCAAATTTGCTGCTTAGCACCATAAACACGATAAGCAGAGAAAAATAATAATAACAGTGCTAAAATAGGACATGTTTTAGTAATCGTATGAAGAATAATATTATATATTCAATGCCGCAGTCAGTTATTTATTGGGACACACAATTTTTCTATTGGGTCAAAAAAAATGGGTCCAATTTTTCAAAAATGGGTCAAGATTTCTCATATTTTGCATAAAATGGGTAAACTTTTAAGAAAATGGGTCCAGATTATTCATAGTGTTGCTTAAAATGGGTCCACGTTATTTAAATTTTCGTGTAAAGTGGGCCCACGCTGATAAATCCTGTCTACGGTATTGTATATGTTTATTTAGTTTATTCACCCTTATACTCATATCCAAACCGATGATGTTCTAGTCATTGTGAGTTTCCTACCTATTAGGTCCAATGCGGCCTGAGGTGAAAGCAAGCCTGGCCATGACTGAAGCTGCGCGTCTTAAACTGTTGGAGTCCTTTGGAGGTCGATCTCTACCCACCAGAACAAGAACTATGAATACCAACTGTTCCTGCAGCAAAATACTTGGAGTCAAAATTTCTCCAGATTTAAATTTTAGATATCGTATTATAATATCTGCTCGAAAGACTCAAAATGCATTGGTTTTGTTGGAAGAGTTTCAACTATTTTAATTTCTTATGTAAAGTTTGTCCATAAGGTTTTGTTCATACATGAATAGTGTTGTTCCGTATGGGACCCTCATGGGATTAATTATACCCGTAAATTGGAATGTATTTAAGACCCATTTTTACTTAACTCTCTTTTGTCTCTTTTTTCTCAATGGCGCCTAATGTAAGATTTGTACCGTATTTTCTGATTGTTTTTTAGGAATATCAATTTATGAAGCATTGTAGAAAAAAAAGACAGATTTAATTAAGAATACCGTACTGTATATAAAATGTGCAATTCATTCGCTTCACCACGGAATCACAATTAATATCTGAAGTTGTTGTTCTGCGCGTTTTCCCAGTAGTAGCTACGAACGATTTTTTGCCTACTGTATCAGTCTAATTAGATATCACTTGAATGCTTTTGCTTGTGTTGCGTTATGACGATTACCAAAACGGCAGCAGTGAAAGCAACAGTACCCACAATACTGATCATTTTTTTTCATTTCTTTTTTTAATATTGTTAATATTTATAACAATATAGGCATATTATGAGTATTATCAGAAACTGTATAAGTAACCATTACTGAAGTTTCAAATATAATTTAATTTCAGTATGATAGGGGTTTTTTTAATAATAAAGAAAGAAATTAGTAAAAAAAATAATTAGGTTCTGAAAAAAACTTTGTCGTTTATTACACAATACTACAACACGCCATGGTGTTTATAAAGATTTTTTTTATTTTTTTTTTTATATAACATTATGTAGGTTTTGTTTAAGACAATACATTTATACTTTAACTTTCCTTTATTGGCATTTATCAAAACAAAATGATGTAGTTAACTTGTACAAAAAAGAAATAAAACTAGACACTAAAAATTATTTACAGCACACATAAAACGGAAGCAAGGAGGCCGACATCTCCTGGAACCAACAGGAGACGAACGCGGAGACAATCCATCGCGTCCGGGGAAGTTATCGGCGAGAATCCGACATCCACCGGACGCGGCGATGGCAAGCAGCAGCGCGAAAAAAAAAAATAAATAAATAAATAAAATCAGGAGCTCCCAGAGTCGACTCCCCACGCGAACCATGCAGTACCATGCCATCGCACGCAGCTATCCCTTCCAGCAGACCTACGAACCCAATAATATAATTTAAAAAAAAAAAGAAAATATACGCAGATATATAAAATTTAATATTGTTTGGATGACCCATTTTCCAATTACGTTAGTAAATTATTGATAGTGTGCATTACATGTATTTACATTGGTGTTTATAATTATTTTCAGATTCGTGTCCAATATGAAGGCCTGTTTAGCAGTCCTGGCTGCGATAGGGATCATTATTCTGTCAACGCCCACTGCAGACGCTCAATTGTTCGCATATAGCGTTGGTGACTGGAGTGATGTAAGTCAATTGATCTTTGTATGTTAATTGTTCAACTGGCAAATCGAACTACTGTTCAACTGGCAAATCGAACTACTAAGCAATCCATTGAAAATAATCTGCAAATGGCACATTTTCGGTATATGAATGAAAAATGCTTACATAATTACTGACAAATACTATTTATTTTGATAAGTACCGGTACATTTTTATCATTAATAATGCTCCTAGTGTTAAATTTGGCTCTCTGTGTTTAATGCTTTTATCTTATTAACTCTGATTTCATTGATGAGTTTGTACATATGTATTTTTGAATTCATTGTATAGATTTTTCTTGACTAATTTAAGCTAATTTAATTTATGTTCTTATTGGCATCGGAGAGCCACTAGACAGTGATTTAGTTTACTTTTTGGCAATCCTGTTCGGCCAATCGAGTGTTGTTTTTTGCTATCTGTTTATTGTGTTTGTCAATTTTGATGTTCTTTGCAAAAATTAAAACATTTTTGATTGTGATAAATTATTGTAAATTTAATGTAATTCAGCAATTTTGCTGCCAATCAAATTGTGAACAAATTGAAATTGAAATTGAAAAATAAATGAAATGAAAAATCTTTGTTTATTATTATTGTTTCTACTAAGGATTGCTCAAATTTTAGATGTGTAATTTAAATTTTAAATGTTATTTATTTATAATAATAAATAACATTTAAAATTTAAATTACACCTCTAAAATATGTATTTATTTATATATATATTTATTTATTTATTTATTTATTTTTATTTATTTTATATTTATGATATCAAATATTTTAGAAAAGTTTAGGCCTATTTATATACAAACTACTTTGTTCTGGTTTTACTTTAGTGTTCAGCTACTTGCGGAGTGGAGGCGTTCCATTCCCGCAGTGTTAGTTGTATAAGTATTGATACCGGAAGTACAGTAGACGTGAGCAATTGTGCTTCTCTCTCACTGCCTGACACTGTCGAACTTTGCGATAAGAATGAATGTGGCGTGGTTTCTTCAACTGGTCATGAATATGTAGTCGGAGAGTGGGGAGCCGTAAGTTGGCAACTTTGACTATAGAATCACATCAAATTTAATCCCCAATGTTACAGTAACATAATATTACGGATGAATATGTCGAACCAAATATTTGAATAACTGTCCGTTCATACATCAGGTGTCATGTTTCAAGAACAGCCAATCACTAGATAAATAGATCACTTAAGCAACTCTATTCAGTAGATATCTTACCAAAATATTAAAAAATATATATAAATCGTCGAGAATGGGACTGAATAACTCAATGCTTAAGATGCTTGCTCTTTATTTCAAGAGTTCAAATCCTGTGACAGCAGAATTTGTCTCAGGCTAAAATCAACTCCACTCCCTACGACTTATGAGTTCGTAGTTTATATATCCTAACTGGGCCCTGTAGGAAAACAGTAAACTTTTAATGAACAAGTTACTCAGTGTAAACATGAGAACTTAACTATACGTTTTCATATCATTATTGATTATTTTCTTGCAATACAGTAAAATACAGCACTGTTCTTTAAAAAGATCCTGTTTTTATGACTATAGAAACATGCAACAAAAATAACACATATAAATCTTCATCAATGCCGTAGCCAGCTATTGGGACAGTCCCACACAATTTTTCTATTGGGTCCACAAAGAATTGTCCACAGTTTAAAAAATGAGTCTAAATTATGCTGTTTTACCAAAAAAGGAGTCCTGTTTTTCGAAAAGTTGGTCCAGATTTCTCATATTTTGCGTAAAATGGATTAATTTTTAAGAAATTTGAATTTACGCGTGAAGTGGGTCCACACTGATAATGCTCTGCACTGTTTGCTACGGCATTATTTATCATACATAAAACACAAATTGGTAATAAAATAATTAAATTCCAATAAACATTTAGGCCTATATTATTAATTGACTGAATTTAAATTAAGTTGAAAAGTACTATTGTATTTTGAAATAATTGCATTTATATATTTGATGTCTATTTTCTTTTACTCTAGTGTACCGCGTCTTGCGGCATAGGATACCGAACAAGATCGGTTGAATGTAGAAACACTGCCACAAACGGTATAGAAGATATTTCGTTTTGTTTTGAACTTGGGAATATTGCTCTTCAGCAGTCGTGTAGTCTTCCCCCTTGTCCAAATCTGCTTGTCGATCTGTATGTATTTGGAATTGGATTATGGAGTGATGTAAGTATTCTAATTCTCTTAATCTTCAGTATTATATACTTATTTTAATTTATTGACTTTAAACTATTAATTTTATCGTCGTTGCTTTATATTATGGTGATTTGCTTCCTGAAAGTAAAATCAAAGAATATAGAACTGCAAGAGGTCCGACTGCCCTGATTTTGTATGAACGCCATGGAACGTTTAAAAAGTACTCCCATTCGATGGGGGCGCCCTATTATAATTCGATAACAGTAATTCACTCGAAACTCGTCCTTTAAGGACACGCCCCTTCGTGCTAGTACTTTTTGAAATAGAATTGCGTTCCAAGGAACCATGGCAGTTGGACCTTTCGCAGTTCCATACTCTTTGGTGAAACGAAATAATCTTAGGGTAGTTTTATATTTATATCCTAAATACTGTAATACTTTGTACAAAACCGACGTTACTATTTCTTTGTGTTTACAATTTCCATCTAATACAAAATCATAATTCTAATAGCTATTTTTCATTGTCAGGGTGTAATCGAATTGTGCATTTCTATTTTCTATTTCTATCTCATTTTGCTTTTTATTTTGATGATAAATTAAAATTGATTTGACAAACTTCGATTTATCTTTTTAGAACAATTGGTTTTCTTAAAATTTAACTCAATATACCTGTATTTTCAAAGGTGCAATGTTTAACTGGTACAAGCATTTATAATGCGCATCTTTATTGAGGTTGAAAAGCTCACTTTTTTCCCGGGTCATTGGGTCCACGTGCTTTAAGTGTTGCTGCTTAATCAGAGCAGGAGCAGGCAACCCCACCGAGTACCCATTTATAATTCTGAGTGGAGAGAAGCAATGCAGATAAAGTGCTTTGCTCAAGGAAACAAGTCAAATGCACAGCGAGGGATTGAAACCCTGCCTCGAGGTTGGGAAACCAAACCGTTCCCGCTGCGGCAAACCGCCTCCACAACGCTTAATTAAACATTGTTTGAATTAGAGGACGCTTAACATCAATTTATTCAATTCTAGTAATGATTTTCAATTTTTATTTTCTATGATTAGTGCTCAGCTTCATGTGGGATTGGAATTCAGACACGATCAATAACATGCAAACTGAGTTCATCCCAAATGGTTGTAGATCTAGCGTTTTGTGCCAGTCTTGAACCAGAACCCACCGTTCAAGGGTGTCTCATTGCAGACTGTGTAACATCAAGTTATTACTACTATACCGGTCCATGGAGCTCGGTAAGACTTACAATTTATTACTCGATGCACATTGCTTACGCAATAATTGTTATATTAAAATAGAGAGCAGCATACGTTTCATTGCAGCTCTCCTTATTGTTCAATTGGACCGTCTTTAAAGATAATAAATACCGCTTGAACGTGTAAACATTAGTGCTCATGTACACGTTATTAATTTGCGCGTAGATTAAGTGCTGTTTACACTTGGTGGTTTACACTATCGACAAAAATAAGATTCTCGATATACAAACCAGCACCACCGAACAGTAGCAGGGGTGGCGCCAGCGGGGGATGGGGTGGGGTGCCAGTTCCCCCGTCGGGGAGAGCTGCCCCCCCCCCCTACCTTCGGGGACAAAAAGCACAATTCGTCAGGGAGAAAAAATATTATATGTATTTTTTACATATTAGTAAACTCTAAAACCGATTAAATAAGCCTTGGAAACCCCTAAATAGTCCACCAAAAGACCACTTTCGGAACCTTTTAATCAAGGCTCGACCACGCCCACTTTGCTTTCGTCGGGGAAATCTGACACCTCGTCGGGGGCACCGGCCCCCCCCCCGTCGGAACCTCGCCCCGTCGGGCAAATTCTGGCCCCACCCATGAACAGTAGACAAAAGAAAAGCGGTGATGGATATGAATTAGTTTTGGTGCTTAAAAAATCCATACAGTGTTTTTGCACTAATTATGATTTCTTGGTCAATGAGTTTTGAGTTAAGTGAACACAAAAATCTTAATTTATTTCAGTGTTCATCTACCTGTGGCACTTCGTTCAGAGAACGTGTGATTGAATGCCGTGAATTTGAAAGCGACTTAATGGTTTCAGATGACCTCTGTGATGACTTAGCTTCTGAAGCCTCTCAAGAAATTTGCAATGATCTGCCGAGTTGTCCAGCCGTTGCTGTTAGTTACGAGTACTATTTAACTGACTATGGAACGGTAAGTAAATTGAGCGACACCTTCACATGGAAACTGAAAATGGGTTATATGCCTTTCGCTTTAAAATCCAAAACCAGCAAATTACACACTTTTACAAATTTCCAAATATACCAACAAAAAGTAATAACTAGATCTACTTGGAATAAAACAAAGCCGTACACACACTCACTACGACACTGAAACTACAACGCGACGAGACAAGAGCTGGTGGCGTTTCACCTGGTGTAGCTCAGACACAAGTCACCATTTGTGGAAAGTGCTATATAAATCTATCCGTACATTACACACACTGAGCCGACGGTTGTCGGTCGTGGATGCTATTCAATGGAGAACGAAACTCGCAGACACTCCATACAGTCTGGCGACGATCTGCTGCAGTCGCCGTCGCGTAGAACGACTCTCACAGGGGCAGAGATGGATTCGTCATCGTCAACCAAAATCGTAAAGCTTTCGTACGACGCGTGGTGTGCGCCCGATCTATAACGCAACGTTTTCAATGATGATCTACCCAGACTGCCATCGACAGTCACTATGAGTGGAGATGGATATGAATTTGGAAGCAGTGTGTGTCAGGTTGAAACAACATTTATTTAAAAAAAAAATTAATCGGCGATTATTTTTTTGTCTTTTTAGTGTAGCGAGACATGCGGCGTATCCTACCGGACACGAGACATTTTTTGCCGTGATATAGCCACTATGCAAACTGTTGATGTAGTATATTGTGCTACTATCGATCCACTTGACAATGTTATCATACAGGAACTTTGTAATGTTCCATTCTGTGACACTGATGTTTACGAGTATGCAACAGAAGAATGGTCAGATGTAAGTCTTAGCCTGTTTTGTTATTATATTTTTGTGGACTGCGTGCACAAATAAATAGTTTTAAGATCAGATGGATACTGTTGGATTTAAAATTATTTTTTTGGAAATATGAATAATAATAATAACCATATTATAAATAATGAATAACAAATAAGTAAAAATAAAAGATCCATTGTGTATCTTATTAGCTGATTAAATACAATCGTGTCACACGGGTTAAAGTTTAAAAAACCTACTACACAAGCTCTCAACCACTGCAGTATTTATCTAATTTTCTTTATTTCTATCTAGTGTTCCAATGTTGAACAATTACATATATGTAATTAACATCCTAGGTAAATGATTCTTTATCAACAATACTGATCTTATTTGTTTCTATTGGCAATATTGATCCATAATTCAGACAACTATAACATACTTGTAACATAGAATGTGATGTAATCAACACTTCGTACACAACTTTTATGCCATTTCACAAAATTACTCATTATATTCTATATATTTGTGTGAACTAGTGTACAGCAACATGTGGCGATTCTCAACGGACACGTGTTGCCTACTGCCGGGAGATCAGTACAGGAACGGTTGTGGATGCTTCTCTTTGTAGTGGACTTACTGAGCCATCTACCAGTGAGCCATGTATAGTCAGTAACTGTCCCATATTTGTTTCGTATGAATATGTCACGGGAGAGTTCAGTCAGGTAGGTGTTAAATTAAGAAATTTCGTTAGCAGTTTAAATAAGTGTTACATTAATAAAATATACTTATTCATATATAACGGTATATTACATCAATATAGTAATAATATTGACAACAATATAATATGTTAAATGCATTTTTTTTACTTACATTGGCAGTGTTCTGCGAGTTGTGGAGCAACAGCATACCGGGAAAGGACTGTCCTCTGTCGAATCGTTGACACAGAAACATTTGTTGACATTGGATATTGTATAGGAGCACTACCCAGTACGATGGAGTCGTGTGGTCTGGCAGACTGCCCATCACTAGTGTATGAATATTTAATCGGTGAATGGTCAGACGTAAGTTCATATATAAGCATCATATCAGTTTATGTAATAATTCTAATTTTTGAATTTAGCCAAGTTTAACAATAGTCCAACAGCAGATTATGATTTCAATATACATGACTTAAAAGAAACCAGAAACTTATACCAGTAAGATATATTTTTTTATATCCATAAAAAGCAACACCTCTGTTACGCCATGTACAATAGCACCGCAGGTGACTAAATAATAATAGGATTTAGGTTATATGATTCAATGAAAGACAATGTTTTATCGTTAGTAATTTGTTTACTTAAAAAATTTCAGTGTACTGCCACTTGTGGTCCAGCAATCCAGACAAGAACGGTCGAATGTCGCGAAACAGTTTCTTTCAATGTGGAAAGTGTAGATACATGTGTTGCGAATGGGCTTGTCCTGGTACCTACAGCCCAGGCTTGCGTATATATTGAGTGCCCAGATGTTGCAAGTTATTCATACGTTATTGGAGAATGGAGTGCCGTAAGTTATTATAATACCATCATTATTATTTGAAGTCAGATACAGCATTTGTAAATGGCATTATTTAGATCATTAACTGGCTTATTCAACTTCGATATCCTCATGAATGCCTACCAAATTTGGACCGGTAAGGTATTTAACATAATATTAAAACTGAGACAATGATATTATTTCGGATTTTTTTTTTCAAAGTTAAAAATGTAGTATGACAGAAAAGCATCTCCATTTCTGTTTCATATCTATTTATTGATGATTTAAAAATGTAATTTCTGGCTGCTTTGATCTAAAACTGAGGTGATGACCTATATTATTAATTAGCTAAACTGATGAAATACCTGTTGTTTGAATTTACAATAAAGGTCATAAAAGTAAGCAGCATGCCATGATATGTTTTATAATACCAAAAAGTGAAAGTGTTTTACTTCGCTTACAATAGTTTATTTTAATTATAAATTTAATTTTCATGACATTAAAACACTAAAGGTTTCTGTGTAACAGAAAGATATTTTATTTAGAAAATAGCCCAGGTTAACTATGTCAAATGTAATCAATATATACTAGAAGATTTTATTAAGTAACTAATACAACTTGTACAGTGAGAGACGTTTATTTAGTATGTTCTTTGTGTATATATTTTAATTATACTTATAATATTATTTAGCGAAAAAAATGTCTGTTCTCATCTATGAACTCTAATAAAATAAAGTTTGTATGATAATACTGAAAACAAATTTAAAAAATGTTGTCTTTCACTAGTTCAGTTTAATTTATCTTTAACAGTGCTCAGTATCTTGTGCAACCGGTACTATAACCAGGTCAGTAACATGTCGTGAAGGCAACACACTCGCTGCTGTTGATGTTTCCGTGTGCGTCAGCAATGGTCTTGGAGAAGTCACCACTACAGACGATTGTGTATTGGCCGCATGCCCAGAAACGTTCCAATATGTTGCGACAGATTGGAGTGCAGTAAGTCTTGAATTTTACACATTGTAGATAGAAGATGTGTATAAGAGACAGGTAGGCCTAATTATATGATACTATACAATTATAACTTTTTGTAGCAAATCTGCGCTCATTGGACATGCAGTCACATTCTTGAAGAACATGAACGCACAACCACTAGGGTTTGAGAGCGTTCTCTTGGTCCAAAGATCTGGAATGACCTTTCACAATCTGTACGGTCTGTGGAATCACTTTTGAAACTCCGCCTTAAAACCTATTTATTTGAAACACTTTATGTAATTTTCTATTAATCTTGCTGGTTTTTCTCTTGGCTTATAACAGTGCCATGAGCACATTTGCGGTGATATATTATTGACAAAGTGACATCATTATTAATTAAAACTAATCATCAACGCATAGAAGTACTTACCAACTTTATACATATGTTCACCATATTTCTGTGGTTTCAACCATGTGAGAAAATTTTCATAGTAACAAGAAATCATGATGGTTGTTAATGGT